CTGTTGTCCTGTTGTCCTGTTGTCCTGTTGTCCTGTTGTCCTGTTGTCCTGTTGTCCTGTTGTCCTGTTGTCCTGTTGTCCTGTTGTCCTGTTGTGGTTCCAAGGCTGAAGGGAGTCTAGTGTCGTTGGCCGCCGAAGATACGAGCGGCTGCTGCAAATCGGGCGGGGTATCATTTGATCAAGAGAACCGTGCTGGTGGCATGTCTTGCCGGTGGAAAGCGAATGAAAGTCGTCATAGGAGTCAAGTAGGAAAAGTCAATGGGTAATACCCATGATCAAGCCGCGTACGATGTCAAGGCGGCCAGAAAGTGTCCAGGTGAGGAGCTTGTGGTCGGAGGAAATCGACCGGACAGCATTCAGGGCTTGCAGCCTTATCACCTCTTGTCCGTCCATTTCCTAACGAGCTGCTCGGCATTGACCGCATTTCGTGTGACTGCACACAGTACATCTCCCTTGGCAGAGCGCCGGGTTGTTCATGCTGTCGCATATGTGGCAATACCACCAGCCTCTCATGGAAGGTGCAGGTCGGCTACCGAGGCGCATACGTCCCCTAGCTTGCACCGAATTCGTTCCGAATGGGTACGAATAGGTAGCAGGACCAGATGCTGTCAAGAAGCGGTTGGAGTAAAGGTTGGTACTGGGGCTTGAACAATATGCAGCGTCGTGATCGTAGGCACGAACGCCCGCTGCTCTCCTCGAGCCGTGGATGACAATGTTGGCGTCTTTCTTGCAAGAATCGCAGGGATGGTGTCCACATTTGACACAAGTCGGATTGTTGATCACCTTCATCGGCCCATTGACGCACCGGCAACATTGCCACAGCGTCGGCATCTTCTCGAGCTAGGGTCGTATTGCGTGAAGAACTTGGGTCAAACAGGAAGCTGCTTGGGGAAAGCTGGCGCTCGAGGAGATAGAACCGCAGCTACGGAGAAACAGGCGGAACAAGGGACTCAAAAGGATTGAAGATGAAGCAGTTGTAGGGAACCTTGGATGGCGAGCGGGATCGATTGAGGAGTTCCCATACCTTCCTTCGTGTGAGTATCTTGCAATTTTATATCCCTCCTTTGCGAGAGATGGTCAAGCGATTCTGCGAGGAAGCATGACTGCGGCCCATCTCGCCTCGGTGATGCGTGGTAGCATTGGAAGGAAAGTATACTTGCCCCGAGATGCAAGGGAGTATAGTGGTTTCGGTCAGCTTGAGGTGGGAAGGCTTTGCCAATAGCAGCCTGTTCGCCTTGATAATGGTAGAAGTTGTGTTTTGATACACTGGCCAATTTGATGCCTCGCTCCCGGTTGGTGATATGCCAGCTCCCCCGAGTATTCTGTACATGAATATGAGGCGGACTCATCCATCTAAGCCACAGTAGGCCATTGTATCTTGTTGGAATGCTTGCTTGGTGCAATGTCGCTAGTATACCGCATACGCCTCGGTCATGGCGAGGCTGCTGGTGGTAGGGGCATTTCAGACCTACCTTGCAGGGGTTGTGGTTGGTGCAAGGTCAGTTCGACGGTGCTCTGTCTGAGAAGAGACGTCTTTGATCTGGTGAAAGGGGTAGAATTGCATCATCTTACGGCGAATCCGAGTTTCGAAACTCGGGTAAACCCATCTGTAGATCGGTGGGAAGCCTGGGCACAGCATCAAAAGTACAACTCGCGTGACACGACTGTTAGCAAACTCAGCCACAAAAATGCTTCATGCAACGACGAAAGAAGTTCTTCACCTCGGCGCCGCCACGGCCTTCCATGATCTCCCAAAGCTTATGGGGTGGGTTGGGATTCGTGAGGCGTGGGATAAAAGGCGGCTGAATCATGATTTGGCACTGTGCATCCGCGGTCCGGGTTGGTCGATGTCATGTGAGGGAGTTTTGAGGAGCGGCAAGCTGATTGAGGACAACGAGATGCATAGGATGGAATGCTAGAGAGTGGGATTGGGGAATCTGGAAGAGAAGACAACTGCACGTGAGCCAGCGTTTCCGGGTACAGCCTGGGAATCTCGTCGCCTGAAAACGTTGATGGGCAGGGCATAGTTTCCGTCCATGTCTCGTGATGGAGAATGAGTATTCATCGTGCAAACTCGGAAGTCGTCCCGGATGCCCTCCTGCGGCAGCACGCAATTCGACCTTGCGTGGTGAGGCTAGAAGGCATCTTATGCTTCAGAGCTACTCTCGTCAACTCCCACCACTCACAAAGGATCGCAGTTGCCCCACAAGAAGGATGGTGTCACAAGGACATCGCACGTCGGACATCGGAGGTGGTGGGAGTATTTGCTAAGAACAGGTGGAGCAAGTGAGCGCCCGAAAGGATACACGGTAGAGGGCGGACTGCTGGAGTTGCGAACACATTGCTTGGCGACTGCGACGCCCGAATGGCAGCGAGTACCACGGTGTTCGTTGCTGTGACTGACTACTCGCTTCGCAAGCGTGGAGAGTCTATGCTACTGGGATTCCAGTTCCAGGACAGAGGAGATTGTGCGGTTGTAGAGGAAATTAGCTTGGGCAGCAGTGCTTTTGATCGGCGTACTTTTGGCACCAAAGCATCGTCGGTGCGAGATTGATTCGGGTTGGGCACACGCGGTAGTTCTATCTGCTTGGGACGCAAACCGGTGTGTGGACGAGTGAGAAGGCAACTGTCGGCTGCTTGGGCAACTGGTGTGCCTAGATGGGGTGAAGTGAAAGGAACCTGAGGCTAGCGGTAACATAGGCTACGGGTCGTTGGGCAGAGTGTCGCAGCCCATGACTCAGAATATGGAGCACAGCACCAGTAGCAGCAGGCAGGCAGCAGTGGTGAAGGCAAGCGGCGAGAAGCCAGAAGCCAGCATCAAGAGCAAAGCAAGAAGCAAGAGAGAGAGAGGTGGTTCAAACAAGGCGGTACCTCCGGACGAGGGACGGTCACGAACGGTCTGTGTACACAGCGAGACAGTATTCGGCCTTTGCCCACCGCAGGATGACGTCGGCTTCGTGGCAGTCGCAGGCATTCAAAGCCAGAATGGAGATCGTCAGGTGGAACAAGAATTGCCTGTCATCGCTTGCTCTAGAACGCCCAAGACGACAACATCTTCCTGTCTCGCTCGTCGTTTACTCCTACTCAGTACATGCATCAAAGCATCCGCGAGTCCATCGCCGGCACGCTGTTCTCCTTGGAGCATTTCTAGAAGGTGCGAGCGACCCCAAATCTTCAGGCGACCCTCAGTTCCCCTTCACATTCGCAATTCACACATTCCTCGCCCTCACACTTCCTCTCGCCCTGGACTTGACCGAGCCACCTCATGGTTGCGCCTGACATCAGACTGCCGTGTCAGGTCTCTAATGCCCTGCGCCCACCTTGATCCCCAATCTTGCTGACCTGATCTATTATTGAATATAACCCACTTGATTCGAATCGTGCTGACCCGGTCTCTTGTTGAATTCAGCCTCTACTTCTGGTCAACCGTCTCCCACTTGGGGGTGGCCTTCCCGCCGAGACTAGCCCTGCTCCCGATCTTGGCTGTTCGATGTCTTGAAGCAAATACCTGAACCCGCAGCGCAAGAGCCTCACGATGACGGAAAATCGCTATCGACCGAGCTCCCCTCCGGGACGCCGGTACGCAGACCCTCGCGCCTCGACCGGCATGTTCATATCCTCCTCATTTGACCCTGCCCGATATTCATCTTCCTCACAACCCCGCGGTGTCATCGACACATTCCCGGCAGCGCGGCACGGAGCCGTCTATAGCACCCAGGGCATAGCCAAGAGACAAGTGCTTGACGACACTCATCCAGGTGGTGGCTCGATTGTGCGGACTGAGTATGCCGTCCGTCCAAGGACGAACTCGACGCTGGAGAATCGCAGGCCGGTCAGCACATTCGCCGAGCGTCGCTCTTCTCCACCTCGAATTCGACCGGCAGTTGTCAGCGGCCCCTCTCGCGACGATCCACGGAGTCCAGCTTTGGCACCCAGGGAGGAGCAGCGATATCTCGTCCCTGCCGCTTCCACAGGTCGCCATCACCACCGCCACGCGAGCGCTACTCGCGCCGAACAGGACCGTCTTCTGCCCGCCAGAGTCAGCAGACAACCCGAATACCATCGTCGAGGCGGCTACAATGCTTATCCCTCATATTCGACGTCACGGGCCCCGCTGCAAGATGAAGGCTTCTCATACACGACGCCGAAAGAGCAATTTTTGTCCGAATCATCTCGCCCGCCTCAGCGGCGAGACAGTTATAGTAGACGGGAACGTCCGGTGAGCATGATAGGTTTGCCGGAGTATAGATTGCCTGCAAGGAGAGACACCCGAGATGGGCCCCCTCCGTCTTCGACACGTGCTTTGGATCGGATCGAGAGGAATGAACCGCTACGACACACGAGTGGTCGCACCAGCGACACTGAAGACCGGGGGAGCGACTTGCCCCGGCGTCGTCATTCCACAAGAGCCCCAGTCCTGCACCATTATCCCGAAGACGGCTACTCATCGAATCGAGATGATCGAGACGGTCGACCATTGGTTAGACACCGCCCTGATCGCCAGGAGGACGATGGGAGACCGAGGCATAGACATCGTGATGAACGCGACAGAGAATCAACACGGGACCTTCCACGCGAGTCTGATCGTGTCCGTGAGCGGGACCGAGACAGAGATCGCGACCGAGATCGGGAAAGGGACCGCGACCGCGACCACACCGTGAAAAGAATTCAAGAAGCTGAAAGGACCGGCAAGCCTCACAGCCGTGACAGTAGCCCGGATCACTCTGGGCTACGCAAAGGTATTACTGCGGCTGCTGTGGGTGCTGTCGGCGCGGCGGCTGGAGCGGCCATCAAGAACGCCCGGACTAAAGAGGATGAAGGGTCGGAAAGTGATGGACGCCAGGAGCGGAAGCACAGGAGACGACGTCACCACCACACCAGTGATGAACCAAGCCCAGATGACCTTGCTGGCCGTCTGGATCGTGATCTTAAATTGACCAATGGAGATCGTGGACATCGTCGACGAGATGATGACCGGAGAGGAGACGACGTTGAGGAGGATGAAGACCGCCGCGAAAGACGGAGGCACCACCGCCATCGGAAGCATAAAGATCGCGACAACGAGTCGGACACCACCGAGGATTATGATGGGAGAGAGTCCCGCCACCGCAGATCTGAACGGGACCATCAAGAGGATCCTCGACATCACCGGGACAGTGCAGCCTCTCGCGAGGAGGATCGAGACGTCCCAAATCTTGAACAGCGCACAATATCACCTGGTGATGAAGAAGATGGCCGCCCTCGCAAGGTCCAATTGGTTGAGCCAGCCGAGAAGAAGGAGGAGTACAAACCCAAGGGCATCCTCAAACCGCCCCGAGAGGTGCCTTTCCCCGAAGATCCCAACCCTACTCGTGAAGGGGTCGCACCATTGAAGGATGCGCAAAAGGACGGAATACCACCAAACGCACGATGGACGAAGATCAGTCGAGCGCTGGTGAATCCGGAAGCACTTGAAAAGGCACACGAGAGATACGAGGAGAGGGACGACTATGTGATCATCTTGCGAGTGGTATCCAAAGAGGAGATTATGAAGTTGGCAGAGAAGACAAAGGAGATCAGAGGTATGGATTTCTTCAGGCCCCGCGGTAATGCGAAACTGACAACCCGAACAGAAGCTCGAGAGCGCAAATGGCAAGCTGAACTCGAAGAGAAGCGCCGTCGTCGAGCAGAGAGAGGAGAGTATAGTGATGAGAGTAGTGAATCTTATACCGATGACGACCGCCGGCCATTGCCTGCTCTGGAGCAAGCACCGCCTGTCCAAGGTTTCCAAGGCGACCCGAGAGTTTACTTCGCCCAGCAGCAGCAACAGCAGCAGCAGAGAGAGGAGGTGCCTATTGCGGCAGCGGCGCCTCCACTGCAGCCCGGCATGCCCAATGTGGCTCCGCCGCACCAAGGTCTTGGATCAACAGCGCCATATCCGCCTCAACAAGCGGCCTCAGCGCAGCAGCAGCAGCACCCAACTATGCCTGTACCAGATATCAGGGTCGAGCCAAATGTTGGGAATTATGCGAACAATGTTTAGCGCACGGATTCTGATGCACGATCTGCAACAAGGCATTGTTGGAGTGTCAGATGATAAAGAAGCGCAAGCGTTGACATCCTGTTCGTTGAGATGACGATGGATCAAGGGCAATGCATCTGATCTAAATGTTCATGTTGAAGAACTCATGACCACAGGAAAGATGCATACTGATCACATCCAGAGGTCCCTTCCACGGATGGCGGATGGCGGACCCAAGCAACCTTGTCTCTTTTCGAACTTGTTATATTCGATCAATTTTGGGCATATAACACGAGTCAAAATCCATCTGACAATTGATCATCCAGATGTGAAGAAGGCAAAGTATGTTGAACAGCCGGTGTCTCAACAGGCAGAAAATGCGACGTTGGCCATAATAGCCACCGGCATGATATGCGCCGCTTCTTGAGCACCACAGTAGGAGTGTGATTAGCGGTCATGTCGTTGTGGTTCCTTTCTGATAGGCCTCATCTTGTGTGCGCGCTCCGTTCTCGCAAGGCTGCATATACTCTATACAGCCGAGGTGTCTGGGCTCCGGGATGAGTACAGAGTATACAGTATTCTAGTTTCCTTAAGCCATTGGGTGGAGTGCGTATCGTACAGTATATAGGTGAGTGGCTCTCGTGACTGTGTCGCTCAGGTCGCTTCGTTAAGCAGGCGGCAACTTGTGTACTTGGTACGTTAGTCTGCGTCGCCGCATGTACAGACACGTGACGGGATCGTACGTGTACCTCGCGAGCTCGTGCTCGCTGGTGTCCTCGTTGGTACGAGCTCGTACTGCGTACTGGGTACGGTGGATCATTGAAATCCCGGCCACGAACGAATGAAACCACCCAGGAATAATAAATTCAATGGTGCCTGAAGATCTGTCCTTAGCCCCGGGAGCCGCTCCCTGTGCCTGGGTTTGGGTGGCCCGCCAGTCTGCCGGGCACCCCTGAGCACTCACTGCAGTCTCCAGGGCGTGGCGGGCAGGCATGGGACAGATGTACAGTAAACTAAGCAGAGCATGGCGAGCTCATGGCGAGCATGGCACACACATGGTTGATCGACATTGACCAGTCCTTGATCCCGTGGGTTTGGCTCGTACACCCACAGTACGGGCTACTGAGTAAGGTAGGTACAGTACTCATAGTTGACCAGCTTCGAACACGTGTGTGGACTGGCTTTCCAATTCCACGTTGTTGTCAGAAGAGTATTCACTCTACTACCCAGTACTGTGTATGTACTGTATCTTTGACGGCGGGCAGCCACAGAGCGAAGTTCTGCCCCCCCAATCACTGGGTCTTCCGTACTGAGTACACGCAAGCTTAAATAAAAGCGGCGCGATGCTCCCCTTCTCCTCACGCAGGCCACCAAATAATTAAAGGGGAGAGGCTGGGAGGCCTGGTCGACAAGTACGGAAAAGGTGATTTACGTACATATGTACTCCGTACTAAGAACTGTCTCTTTTGCTCCGTCCTGCAATCATGGGCCGAAACATTCAGCTAGGCTGTTACCGTGCTGTGTACTGTAGTTAGTTTGAGCTGAACTCCTTGTCGGTAACGGAGAATTTGTATCGAGTGCTCCGTACTGGGTGTACTCGGTACAGTACGGAGTACTCGAAACTGTATTCCCTCAGCCCGCTGCTTCGGACCGCTGCCATGGATCGTCCAGTTTCGGTGCATGCATTGCATTGATGCATGCATGCAACCCCCAGCCATCGTGCGGTCCTGGGATCGCCTGACTCCGCCAGGGTACTCCGTACAGGCGTGACAGGCCTTGGGATATGGGTCTTGCTAGGCATTTGACATCTCTCGGTCAAACGATGAAATGTCTCCGTGCATAGCTCGTACGGAGCACCGTCGATCAGCGACTGGATTCGGTAGCCACTACCTACGTACGAGTTAGATACCCAGGAGTGAATGCTGTCGCGGCCACCGCGGCCTCGTTGACAGCGACGCCACGAGGAAAGTGAGTGTGTTTCAATCGTCGGTCAAAACTCAAGGACAACAAGCGGGGCAGCTCGGCGGCCGATCCTCCCCGCCTTCGGAAGGTCGCAAAAGGATCGGCGGTCTTGCAGCGCCGTGAAATGGAAGGCTCTCGTGGTAATGAGCTGAACAGGGCATTGCACACCAATGAAAGGGCCTTGAAGTCTTTTCGGCGGCGACGAAGCGATCTGCACTGTAAATCATACTCGTAATCGTACGTATCGCGAGGTTCTGCATCTTTGTCCTCGACTGTGCAGGAACAAAGAACAAAAGAACAATGGTCTTGTTCTTACAAAGCCAACACTCACCGCCGGTCACGGTTTGCACAGTACATGAGAGCTGAGCCCCCGTCATGCTTTTCACTTGATATGCGAGTTACCTCGTACGCTGTATCTTTCTCCGTGGCTACTGGTCACCGAGCAGTGCAAAGTTTCCGCAACTCCTGACGGGCTGCATTTCGGAAGCATGATGGACGAGCTGCGAATCTGCTCTCCGTCCTAGGGGGTGTCTCACGTGTCGACTACTTGGACACCTGCACCAGCCTGCGTCAGGAGATTGACGTTGGTGTCTTGCTCGTTTTCAATGTCAACAATACTCCGGTTGCAAGAATACAATGGATCACGACCGTTTCGGGTTCACATGGCGCGTCCGACACTCAGCGAAACTCTTTTTCCCGATGCGCACTTCCGTTGTGGCTTGCGGCAGAACAGTATAGAGTTCGACTTGACGGAAATCTGTCTCTCCACAGCGGGTGGAAGGCGTTTGTCCTCCTTTCTCTACGGCAGACGGAGCTATTACCCGAACTTTGCGCGCGTGATGTGCCTTCCGGAAGTATGTTCAGGCATCGTTGTCTCACGTGCAGGGTTGTCATTGATATCGTGGTGGTGTCAGTGATGGGTGAAGCAAGCGCACTTTCTCTCTCTCTCTGACAGACAACTTCTCATGCATCGTGCAGGAGCATTCAGGGGCTGGAGATGTTGCTGTTGACTGTACACTGACCGCGAGCTCATTTCCGAATTGATTACTCAGGCCGTACAGTCTGACAGTTTTCATCTGATGTACTTGGGCAGTTACTTGTTCCGTTGTACTGTCAGATGCCCACAAAACGGTACTTCCGCAACTTGACGGATAAATGCCGCACACAATACTCCGTTCCGTGTGGAGTGGTGACAATGGCAGGTACCGGCGATTCGCGCCATCAAGATTGAGCCACATCAGCCCAACAGTACGAGATATCCGGTGTAGCAGTTTCTTGGAGGCCCACAAAGATGACTGTGGTCCTGGGACTGGAACAGTCGTCTCATCGTCTCTCGGTCGGGGTTCCCTACACTTGTCCAAGTGCTGTAGTACGGAGTACTTACTTTAGTCTGATCCATGTCACCATGCACCTTAAGCCCGAACCCGAAAGTATATGCAGGATGGACTTCTCGCCAGGCATTTGAAGGAGCGCTAACGGCGCAAATCACGTAAAGAGGCCTCGTCAATTCATGACGACAAGCAATCCCTTTTAACGGGCTCCCGAGGCAAGAGAATACGATGGTAGGTTTACGCTGCCGACAGATCGAGTGACTGACGGATGAGAATGGAAGGTGCAACAGCTGGCAAACAATGTCGAAGACCTGCACACACACTTGGCATCACGCTGCCATTCCGTGGCTGTGTCGACAGCAATGGCCATGGCAACGCGGGGAATGTCGACGCCATTCGAGATTGGCCCGTAAGATGCAAAATCACAATCAGATACCGCGAACTTGAGACGTCGCTCAATCACAGATGCATAAGACGGGCGTTCGGATGGAGATTGTGCACAAGTCCACTGGTCACCCTGCAATCACCTGCAGCGGGAAAGCAGCTGCGAAACCGCTGGCTGCTTCTGCCGAGACGATCCTAGGGAATAGTATCGGCTACTCTTAGTTTGCCAGCCACCGCAGTTTGTAGTGTCGACCTACAATCAGATCCGAGATGAGATCAGGCGCCGCGAGACTGTCGACGAACATGATCTGCGACTGTGTTTTCAGTCGCGCAGCTCGGTAAGAATCGCACGAGCACCAATTGGTTGTACATAGATGTAGACGCAGGACGCCGCCCGCGAGGAGCGCACGGGCTCACCGAATGTCCGTGGTTCTGGTTCGAATGCCATTCGGCATCAGGCAGCTTCTATTATTACTGCCTCTCCGGACATGGATTCCTCCGTCTGTGTCACCTGGACAGTGAACCCAACCCGATGGAAACTGTAAAAGGAGGAATTCACTGCGCCCGACCACGATGATGCGTCTACGGGCTGTGGATCAGACCCTGGTGAATTTCGTATAAGGCTGAATCAATGCATGAATATTGGTCTCTCTGCTGCACTGGAGGTCGTCGTGAAGAATTGCCTTTCGGGTCGAGTCGAGATGGGCCAAGGGTGAATTAGCCTAGCCCTGCAAACGCAGGCAAGGCAGGCTCCTCTCAACCTGCGCAGATGTGGCATGGGATGAACATGGGCGCCAACCAGAGCCAGACGAGTTTTACCACTGCAATCGCCAGAAATCCATCACGGCAGACCAGGGTATTCATTTGCTGGGTTGGCTGCAGTATCAGGTCATTGGCCATTTGCACAAGTGGTTCCTCGAACACTTGTGCATTTTGATTCGTCGTCGCCTTTCCTACAAGCGGAAGTTAGGATGGTAATGCAGCACCTTCCAGCCGGTCGTTCTCTGTCAGTGTGCTGGAGAAATACCCCGTAGCTTCACGCCCGGCATGAGAATGCAGACGAGAGCCAATGGTCGTGCAAAATCCGCCACGGAAAGACGACTGTATTTGCGTGAGCGCTGCACGACAAAGATTCCAGTCACTACGAGTATTATTCAGTCGCTTGAACACCTTCACCAGACAGCTCACGCGTGGAGGATGGAGCTCCAGTCACGGTCACCAATGCCGATGTCGATCAGAGCTAGATGCAGGATCAACACCGCGCCACACACCATGCACCATGCACCAGGCGTATTACAAGACGGACCTAAGGCCGTTTACGGTCTAGCAGTGCGATGGTGGATTATCGCTTGCCACTGGGCGAACAGAGCGGAAGCATTGGAGGCTCCTACTGGACGACGGAGCTTGGGAACGAGAGAGAAAGCAGTTCGAAAGACGTGAGGGAAGCAGGCGAGGGGGAGCTTTGCCGTTCCTGGGATCCGGGATTGAGAAAGCGACTGCAGGGGTTGGCTGTCAAGCACAGCGACCGGGACACGATTGTCGAGACCTGCAGCAAATGTCCTCTAGCATGATTTTGAACTGTATCGTGAATTTGTGCTGGCGACGGGTGGACTTCCGATCGTGTGTCGTAAAGACATCAACTGATGACGACCGGGAGGAAACAGCCTTAATTTCGCAGCCCGACATGATTTGAGAGAGGAGCAAGATGGCTTGGGGAGGCGTTGAGATACTCTTCCCGGTTGCAGAATGACTGTGGAGGGATATGTACCCTTTTAATCTTGAGCTGCATGCCTGCGGCTAGCTTCACTGCAGGACTTTGCGCAAAGCTGCATTGCGTGTGCATGTCCTGTCTCAACTGCATGGGAGCGAATGGCCGGCTGGAAATACATGTGAGTGGATGAGCTGGTTTATCGGCGGCAGGCGGCGGTCTGCCCCCAGGGATACTGACGTTGGCACTGGCACTGGCACTGGAAGGCAAGGCCCGGGGCCACTGGCAGGGCGTGTCAATGATCGCCCAGCGCCGTTGATGAGCTGTGGTTAGGGCGTGTTTCGGGGTCAAACTCAGATCGGCAGCCACTAAGAAAGCACTGGAAATTGCAGGGATCTTGCCCACGAGCCATGGAGCCATGGATCGCCCTCACGCGGCGGCCGTCCATCTCTCCAGGGATGCCAAACTTTATTGCTCCGAACAATTCATCGATCGTATGGAGTGAGTAGCTATACACACACTCTGTCGCTGGCACTTCCTCCTGCCTGTGGTAGATGAGAGAACGCATGAATCGGGGACGATTGCACCGCCCTTCACGGACGTCCAGGGCGGTGTCATATTAGCCCATCAGAGGAAAGGCGAAGAGGTGGAAACGGGTCTGTCCATCTGTCTGTCAGACGGTAGTGGCTCTTAATCCTTAATGATGCCGATAAAAATGGCTTGGTGAAGATGCGCCTGTTATCAAGTGCTGAGGCCGAGGACGAGCAAGCCAGGCCCTTACTTTGGTCATGGTTTCGGCCGTGACCACCACCATTCATTCGCCGTCATGGCTCACACAAACCTCAGAGCGTATCAGTTCCTCACGGACCTCGTTCTTGCCTGGGATTTCAATACCATCTTGCCACTGACCTGGCTCACTCCGACAGTTCAGACCCTGGCCAGCTCTGGATGCGACACGCAGTACTAGTTACCCCGTCTCCTTACTATCCCTACAACTCTTGCCCTCTCTTGAATTCTCTCCCCACACGACCCATCGCCGTCCTTCACGCGTCAAGCGCTCGCCTGATGCGCCTAAAGCCTCACCTCTCGACGGCTCCTCTCCTGTCATCACGCTACGGAGTGCATCCGATCTTTCTATCGACATCCGAGACGAACCTCCTACCTTGACCTCGGCCTGCCGGTCAAATCTCGAACTGCTCGTCACTCATCACCCTTCCAACTTCCCTGCTACGCCTGGTCTCGCTAGCTCCCTGCTTCCCGCCGCGCCATGGCGCCCGCTCACCATAGCAAAAAGTACGCCGTCGCTTCGGAGAAATCATCTGGCACTGGCAATTTGAACATGAGGGCGGGCAGTCTGAATCCACACCTGCATCAGTCACCGCCGCAGCCCTCTCAACAGCACGCTCAGATGATCACCGCGCGCAACAATTCCAAGCACAGCGCCCGCCATCCGCAGCCGCATGCTCACGCGCAACAACTGCAGCAGCAGCAGCAGCAGCAGCAGCAGAAGCAGGCCCCTCATCCCAACCTCGCACAAGCTGTCGCCCCAGCACGAAACCTCAATTCGAGTCCGGCTGGAGACACAGGAGCAGGATCTGGTCCAGTTCACGGGCCCGGAGATCCTAACCATCAGCTACATGTGAGTTTTCTTCATAACGGTTCCTGCCTCTTGTTGCGTCTGTCCTCCCCATGGCGCGCATCACTGGTTTAGGCGTTGAAGCTTTTTTGGCTTGACTGCTCCCCTGGACTCCAGTGTGCGCAACAGCGCCCACAATCTCTCGTCCTTGGCTACGACCCTGGTCCATGTTTCGAGTGGCCCACCCTCCCTGGCCCGCATCTGCCAGCCATGATCCTGACCTGCCTGGCTTGATCTCGGGCTTCTGTTTGGCCCACGCGCAGCTATGATTAGCCCGCTTGTGGCCCCTCTTCTCTGCGACCGGCTCTTCACGCACCAAAAGTGCCAGCCTACGCCAGCAGTTGACGCTCGGGCCCATGCTCCAATCCCACCACCCACAATTAGCTCGACGCAACCACACAGAGATTGTCACGGCCGGCTCCACTGCTGGCACGCCTCCCCCTCCAGGCCCAAGCACTGAAGGTTCCAAACTGCCAGGCTCCCACGGCTCCCAAGTCGCCCGCAAGTGCCATCCGGACCCCCCGGTTTTCTTTCTTTCGACATGCCCTTTAAGCTCCCGCGCCAGCGGTCCACTTGATTTGCGCGCTACCAGTTTCAACGCGCACATCCACATCCACTCACGCGGCCTCCCCAGTATCTTTTACAGCGCCCTTGCCCCTCGGCTTTTCTGGATCATCCTTCTCTAACTCTCGCCAAAACTTGTTCTTTCCATTGACTTCCCACTGAGTTGCACCGCCACGTCTGACGTCCGTCCTCTGCATTTGCCCTTTTCGACGTCAAAAACAACGTCCATACAATGCAACGCTGCTCTACATAGGACCGACAGATCCCCCCCTGCCCCAGTCCTTTCACTACAAAGCCCATTATTCAAGCTTCGACCACCTGGCCCTGTCAACGGTGGACAATCCCGGTACATGGTATGCTCTACCCACAAAATCCATTGTGGCTGCCCCATCTCTTATCACATGCCCGCGCCCTGACCCCTCGCACACACCTGGGTTTCATGCTTTGAAACCCATCATATCTCCTTTTCGAGTGCTCGAGGATCACTCTGTTTGTGCTCAAAGTCGTGCGACTGCACGCCATTTGACCCTGGACCTCTCTCTCGTTGCGCACGACATACTTGCCAGGAATTGAGACCGCCATCCCGGCACATTCGGCGACGGCACACCTCCCCTGGCTACACTACAGGTACGACCGACTCCGAGGACTGCTGGAGATCACGTTTTCCATAGCGCACGCCTCTTGTCTGCTCTCGTGTTGGTTTGCGCATCAGGATCCTCGCTTCTTACCGAGATACTCAGGATCCAGTGAGATCTCCTCCCTCTCCACCATGGATTAGGGCAGCGGTCCAAACCAATTACGAACCTACGTGCCAGGGTCACCATCAGTCAAACTCTTGAATTTTGACCCAGCTTGCCCGTCACCCTTGCTGTTCCTGCCGTGGAGTTCTTGAACACCTGACGCGACCTTGATCTGTTGTTTGCGATCACTGCTCATTTGCACAAGCCGGCGCTGACATATGGACTCCCGATGCAGCATCGCACCACACAACCGTATCCGAACGTTGCTCCGTTGCATCACGTCCCGCATCAGTCGCAGTCGAGAACGTTAAGCGGCAGCCAAAGCACTCAGCAGCCGTATCCGTCGCCGAACATCTACACGCCGCAACCGAGTCTGCAGTCCCCGTTTCTCCATAGCCAGGCGCAATTCCAGGCGCAGCAGGCGCCCGCCGAAACGCCGAACTTTTTTCCACCGACTCAGAGTCCTCGGAGCCAGCATAGCGGCGCCGGAACTTATTATCCCACGGGTAAGTTGGTGATCGAGGAATCGTCGCGTCAACAAGCTGATCCAAGTGACAGAGAAATCTGAGCCTATGGCAGCAACCGCGGCGATGCAGAGGCCTTATCCTCCCATCTACCACACTCCACAGTCCAACTCTCCTGCTTCAGTGACCTCGCCCCAGACACATGATCCCGCAAGGCCAATGTATGGTCAACCGGGGGCGCAATTGAGCCAGCCAACGATATATGGCTATCAATATGGGATGAACGCGGTGCACCAGCCCAACTATGGACAACACCATCAACAGGCACAGCAACATCAGATGAATTCCCAGTCGATGCTAGCATCCTATCAATCCGCAGCGCCCCAGATGCCTCAAGGCCAAGTCAACTCGCACCACCCCGCCGTTTCGAGTAGTCCGAGGTTGAAGTCCGAACAGAGTCAACACTACCAATTAAAATCCGAGCAGAGCCAGCTCAAATATGAGCAGAGTCAGGCCTATCAGCATGCCCCTCAATCCCGAGCGGGAATGCTGCAGCAACAGCAGCAGCATCCTACTCCGATTTCGCAACCGACGTCCTTGCCACAGCAACAACAGCCCCAGCAGCCGCCACCGCAGCAGCAGCAGCAGCAGCAGCAGCAACAGGTGCCCCAAGTCCAACAACAGTCGCAACAGCAGCACCAGCAACAGCAACAACAGCAAAATCCCAATCTACCTCCCGGCTCGAATGCCGCTCCTGGGCCAATTCCCGCCACAACACCATTGGTGGTACGGCAAGACGGAAACGGCGTTCAGTGGATTGCTTTTGAGTACTCCAGGGATCGTGTCAAGATGGAGTATACTATCCGGTGCGATGTTGAGTCTGTTGATGCCAACGCCCTGTCACAAGAATTCAAATCGGAAAACTGTGTATATCCACGAGCTTGTGTGCCGAAAGAACAGTACAAGGGTAATCGGTTGAACTACGAGACGGATTGCAACCAAGTGGGCTGGGCGCTGGCGCAGCTGAATCCATGTCTTCGGGGCAAGAGAGGTTTGATCCAGAGGGCAGTGGACAGCTGGAGGAACAGCAACCAAGATCCGCGATTGAGAAGCCGTCGTGTCAGGCGACAAGCAAAGATGAATAACAGGTCGAAACTGACGGCATCAGCTTCGGCCCAAGCACCTGGGTCAGGGGGTCAAGTTTCGACAGGGCTTCCTGGTCCAAATTCAATGGCGGCTCCCACCACCAGACCAGCCGGGCCCCTGCCAAACACACAGTCTCAGATCCTGCATCATCCACAGGATTTGTCTCCTACAGGGCATGAGAATGTTGGAGGTATGTGGACAAAGACTTTCGCGTCTCCATGACTATCATCTCACGCGTCCTTGCCCTGAGAGTCTCGCTGACTATTCGCAGCTCCCACATACAATCCTGCACAACAAGCTTACCGACAGAATTCGGTACCTCAACATATGGCAAGCCCAAGTAACTTGCGCCAGAGCCACCACTTCACCGGGTATCCGAGTTATGCCACTTCGCTGGCTCCTTCGATGGGCCCGTCTATGGCTCCCGCCATGCAACCTGGGCTGCATCATCTCGGACGGCCCGGCGGGACAGCCGCAATGGCTTCGAAGGACCACGATGAGAAGGATGAGGAGGACAACGCTCTGTTCGGAGAGCTGCCCGAGGGCAAGCGACGGAAGTTTATCCTTGTCGAGGATACCCAGAAGAACGCCCGTGTGAGAGTCAAGGTCACCCTTGATCAAATCGAAATGAGCGAGATTCCCGATTCCTACCGAAAGCAGAATTCCGTTTTCCCGCGCGCATATTACCCGGTCCAGATGCAAGCTTCTTCCGAGTCGACCCGGGAAGCTCGTTTCGTGGAGGAGGGTGATGAGGTAGACGGTGGCGTGCCAACTCTTGGGAAGACAGCCGTTTCCGTCCAGACCAGTGACGGTGAGGCCGAGGTGAATGTGCCCCAAATTTCCAAAAGCAAGCGCGGTCGGGAACAGAAGATGAATGAACTTGGATATCGCATGGCTTGGGGACAAGGTCGCGTGTTCTCAGGCCGGCCAATCTTCCTTGCACGCGCACGTAAGTTTCCCAAGCGTCGATCAATTCCCGCCAGCTGCTGACGCTGCACAGTTGACTCTTACCGGAGCAAGCAACGAAGTGCTCTCCTTGCCGCTGGTTCAGACCCGTCGACCATTCCAGCTCACCTCGAGACTCGACCTGGAAAGAGGAAATGGCTTGAAAGAACAAGAGCCGCGACGCCGGCACCAACACCACCCAACCCCACTGCCGACTAATCTATCGATTGTCAAATGATTCGATGCAGTTGGTCTGCGTTACCCAGCGATATCGAAAAGCACCGCCCTGAGTTTGTACATTATTCCGAGATGCACCAGACGACCTCTTGTACAATCAGACCTTTTTCGCAAGTCGCAAAATTTGGATTGTTGCTGTACGCGACTCGGGGCTGTCATCGAACCAGCCTCGGTGTCGCGACAGACCACTGTTTATCTGACGACCCTTGTAACTCCAAAAATTCACAGCATGGTTCATGTCTACATCCATATGACCTGTAAAGGCCGGACCCGGGGCGATTCTGTCCTCGAGTCTACGGTCCCGGGATCTTGTCCTCAAGGTCTCTCTCCCCGGGATCTTGGCCACCTTGGGGTGCGGAAATCTGCAAGCCACCACTTTGCTTACTCCCTTCTTTATGGAAAGAACTGCCCTCCGTCGGAATATGGGATGGATCTTGTTTCATTGTGAGAATTCTTCACTTCGATGATACGGTTTGGTGTCAGTTCACCCGGCATGCACTCCACCTTTTCCACCCTCTGGCTTCGATTCTTGGATATCTGGTTTTTTTGAGCGACGGCCTCTTGTGGAGCATATCAGCATACGTGGATGACGCTGCACTCTTGTGTTTCTGTACGGTTTGGAAAGAGCCGGCATGGGGAGGCTCATTGGGTATGGGACAGCCATGACCGACCGGGACGGTCATGGGAAATGGGACAGGGCGATCCCGGCGACCGAGACGGAACCATTCTCAGGCCGGTAAGGGACACACGGCTCCGGGATCCCGGAAAGGAAAGGAAAGGAAAGGAACGGAACGTGGGGAGGGGAGGAATAACGCTTGTTTTTCTCTTCGTCTGGGATGGATTACGATACTTCTTCTTTCTGTGAATATCTACTTTTGATTCCCCCATGGGCGGATTTGTTTGGTCTTTGGACTGTTGATGGGAATTGATGGGCATTGATGGGACAAGGGTAGCCCGCCGAGGCTTGCACACACACGTTATCGCCGTCATACGCATAGCCATGAATGAGTGGTAGGGATCACTGCGTCACTGGATCACTAAGGGGAGGATGGGTATTGGACGTTCTGGTAGCCGGGATATCGCAAGGATATAGCAAGGGAGGATGGATGAGCACAGGCAGGAGTGAGTGATTGAGTGGGTGACTGAGCGAGGAATCGATCGAGTGGACTCTTTAATCTTCCTCCCGTCAAGAACACTGTAGATGGGTTCGCCAGAGGTACAACAAAGCACATCAGAGAATGGATATCTCTTTTTTTCATTCCACAGTCCGGAGTACAGAGTACAGTCGGTTTGATCGGTCAGCGTCTCAGTTGGATACTGTAGTCGGCCAGTCCGCCAGTCTCGCTATTTTCAGCATTGACCGTGCCTAATGGCGTTATAACTACGGATTACTTGCTTGTGTTGTATCGATCGCCCTTGGATTTTGTTCAGACAATTGGGAGGAATTGGGAAGGGTGTGGATGTTATGTCCCTTTGGCCAGCCACCTGTTTCTCAATTCAAGGGGAAATCCTGGTTCCGGGTTCCGAGCTCGTCACGGAGAGAGTACGGAGTATTTGCTGATGATTAACCTCTAGGATTCTTCTTGTGGGCTTGAGGCAGGTTTCACTGTCGAGGTCCTTTTCAAAGTACGGAGTACACACACGTATATACCCTAGACATATACGCACAGAACATAGCGAGTAGATACCTACCTAGTATATATGCCCATACAACATACATACATGCATACATACATATATATATCTGGACAGTCGTTAGTGGGCTTTTTGTCGACCGTTTTTTCGGCGGATCTCACAGGTGTGAAAACACCATACTACTGTATTTACCTATGTATGTAATGGGGCGCTGGAGAGTACCTACCCTCGCTACCTATCCTAGCCTATACTCCCTGCTGTTCTGTACTTTCCCACGTTGTCATACCCCCGTAATGTACATAAATCCTGGATGCAAACCTCGTTTCCTGCATGGCTTCAATATGGGTTGTCGACCGCGCAAACCAACTTTTGTACCGACCTGGACCGTTGAAACCCCGAACCCGGCCGATCCGGTGAGCAGACAGATGATACAGGATGCGCGATGCGCGATACGTGCTTCTTTGATGATCATGATGCGATACGATGCGATACGATGCGATGGGGTGACCGCCCGGAACAGAAGAAGGTAGACAAAGAGACCAACCCTGTGCATCTAATGCTTCGACCGCCACCAAATTCAAGTGCTATACAATAAGCCTGCCAGCATTAGAATAAGCACCGAAAAGAGCCGTAATATGGAGAATAGCCCAACAGAGCGTCGTATTCAATGCAACGCGCCCATTCGATCCAAATCATGATCCAACAGTTTTCCCGCCGCAATCGGGAATCTTCAGCCCAGGCTTGAGATTCCTGCCTGGGTCCATAAGCCCCCATTTGTCTTCCCATTGTTGGGTATCGGTGTTGTAGATGACTTTCCAGGGCTCGTCGAATGCTTCAAACCTGTAGCGAAAAGTCAGAGATCGAGGCTCCGTTCACGATGAGATGCGACTTACCAAAAGTAGTCTGTACCGTTCTGCAGTGCTTGGCACACCCAATTGTCCATGAAGGTGTTCATGCCATCAACACTGGCGACGGAACCGCTTTGACCGGGCTGGCAGGAGCCATCTATACCGCCGCAATCTTTGCCACCTCCACTGGGCCAACCGGTCTCGCTGATGAGCTGCTTGACGTTGGGCATGCCCTCAGTCAAAATAACATTGTGGTTCTGCCAGAAATCCCAAGTCCAGCCGGCAGCAACCTCTGCCGTCACACCGGCAAAGAATGGATGGATGTTGGACATGACATAGTCGACCGCTTGCGTAAGTTGGGCGTTCCAATTGTCGCCGAGATCAGAAGTCGCGATAGGGAGATCATAACCGAGGGACTTGAACTTGGCTCGGACATCACCTAAATAAGTGATCAATTCCTGCTCAGACTGTGCCTTGTCTTCGCCTGCACGATAGAGAGCCTCGTTGCCGACGATGACGCCTTTGAAAATGGAGAGATCTTTAGTCTCCGCTAGGATCTTGTACATCTGGTCCAGCTGGCGGTCGATGGTGGTCTGATTGGTATCGATCCACACACCCATCCACACCTTCATATCGCTGAGCTCAAGCCGGTCAATCGCATGAAGCACCATCTCAGTCTGATTGCAGTCAGTCCCATAAAGTCGGACGACGTTGGTCAGTTGCGACAAGACTGCCATGTCACGGGTGACGTTGTTTTGCGAAGGAGGATACGTGTGGCACAGCGGATATTGTGTTCCCCAGGGTGTGTAATCCATCCCAGGAAATACTTTGTGAAGGTCCTTATTGTTCATGAGAGCTTGAATTTCAGCTGAGTTCTTGTCGAGGTCGCCGTTGGCTGCGGTGTCCGAGGCAGCGTTGCTAGTGTCGCCGCTGGAGGAGCCCGAATCGTCCGAATTTTTGTTCCCTAGCACACCACCCACGATTCCTGCCACGATGGCGATGACAATGACCAATCCAATCGCGATGCCCACCCAAAGTTTCATTTTTCTCTTTCCCTTGGTTTGCTCTGATAACCATGGGCTCTTCTCGGGCTGGGGCCGCCCATCAATCGCGTTATATGTGCCACTGGCAGTATGATTTTTTGCTTTCCGGCCAAAGAGCCCTCCCAGAAAACCGGCGGCACCAGCGGCAGCGACAGGGGCGGCGAAGCCCCTGCCACCGTCCCTTTGCTGGTCCCGGGGTGGGAAACCATCGTCGGCGTCGTCGAGGATATTGTTTGGGTTGATGCTCGCCTGATTCATCAGCCCTCCAGGATTGCTTGACTGGTAGGGCAGGTCGTGGTAGCTGGGATATGACGGAGCTCGGCTCGAATTCGAGTGATAGTCCTCCAAGGGGATGCCTCTGCCGGAGTATGCAGATGATCTGTGACCTGAGGGAGCAGGAGATGATCTACCAGGCGTGGCGGCGCCTTGGGCAAGAGCGAATGTCGAGCCGTAGGAGGATCGATCTGGCAGCCGCGACGCGGCCTGCTGTTGGTAGGGAGCATAGGACTGAGGATATGCCGGTCTGTCACCGTAATTGTCCATCCCCGCGGTCGCGTCAGAGTAGGTTCGGTAATGCTGAGGTTCGGCACTGGAATGTCGGCTCGGACTGGCTCTGTGTGGAGGAGGAGGGGGGGCGCCGAAGTCGTCGGCACTTGTAGGTACTGCGTGTCTCGCAAGGGCCTTGGGAGGGGAGAGGTCGCTCAGGAGATGGGCATCTGGAGGGTCAGGGCGCCGGCGAGGCGATGAAGGAGGAGGAAGTTGCTGACTGCGACTTGGAGAGGCGGAGGCGTATCGAGGTGGCGGAGAAGTAAAGTCTCTGTCGAGTGGCCCCTGGTACGGCTGTTGGTAGGAGGGTGTGTAAGACTGGGGCGGAAGTGCCTGTGCCTGTGCGTATGGTGCATCTGAATTCAGACCGCGGTCATCTTGGGGCTCAAACGAGAAGTTCCTTCCGCCGTTAGACATTCTGATCACAAGCGGCGTGTCTCTCGCCTGGGCGGGCAGGCAAGAGCAAAGTCTTTCAGTATAGCGAGCGACGGCGCAACATGTGCAATGGATTCAGACGATCGAGCTGCAAGACCACGAGAGACTCTTCGCGGCAGGATCTGAGAGTGTGGGAGCGCTGTGTGGTATGGTAGGGGCGGCTGAGCCGAATGGGAAACGGGCAGCTGAAACGCTCGTCAGCCGGACTTGACGAACGAACCAAAAGAGACAGCCAAGAGAACGAAGCACGGCGTAGGCGAAGAGCTTGGTCGTGGACTGGGTACTGGGTACTGTAGATGCAGGAAAGCGGAAGAGACTGTGATGAGCTGTCATGAGTATTGACACTCCTAACTAACTCCTCGTAGCGAGGCGGCGCATGTTGGTAAAGTTGGCAGTTGACGGCGGCGGGGACATGGGGGAGTGGGTTGCGTCGCCTTCACTCAGCCTGCCTCCCTGCGCCGTTGCTATGCAACCAATGGAGAGCCACGGCGATCCTCCTCCCCGTTCTGTCGATGAGGCTTGGACACGACAAGCAATGATGTGACTTGTGGAGAATTAGTGTACTTATCATCGCTCAAACGCTCGAGCTGCCTATGACAACAGTTGAGAGCACGCCCAGGAGCTGATCTTATCTATGAGACACGGGCTTCCAAAAGCAGACATAGGATAGATTTCTTGTACACATATTTCAGCTGATGCCAGATGTGCACCGTTACATGCGGTCACCGTATGCGAAATGCGACTCTCCGGATACAGCCCCAGTCCACTCGCACCGTGCAATGTGCCTCCTCACCGAGATGCACCTAGCCGTCGGTGTTCATGCAAGATGTCTACCTCGTCCGATAGCTCAACAATCTCGGTGCCGACAGTGATCAACTCCATATCTCCTGTGGCAGTATGGACGTCTTCCGGCTCTGCACTTGCATTGGCGATCTGCAGTTGGCTGTCAGTTGCACGTGGCGTCCCAAGCGCTGCATGAAGCTCGCGGGCCCATCCAGAGACCTCGTCGTTTGGATCAAAATGGAATTCGGGCAACACGAGGCTTGTGCTTGGGGATTGTGCAGCGTGGACGTTCTGGTTTGACGACTCAGGACCCTTCTGGGCTGTCCAGCTAAGCATCTGATTGTTCTTGCGTGGCTTGGTCAGCCTAGCCTTGCGTCTGCGGGAAGTGATCGCGCGATGTCGTTTGTTACGACGAGGCACATCCGAGTCAGATGTTGAGTCTGAAGACTCTGATTCCTCTCCATCACTCAGCATGGGGTTGTCAATGCGAAGTCCGTACCTTCCAAACTCGTAATCGCTGCGACGCTTCAGCGGACCGGGTGACTCTGGCCGACTGGATAATGCAAGAAGCCGGCGGTCAATCGGGGTTCCATCCTGAGCGCACAGGCCCAGCTTCCTCAACTTCGTAATATCGTAGTACGAAATGCACACTTTGCAAAAGAACTGTTCGTCTGCGCGATAGGGACGAGTCGTCACCGTGGTCGTGCGAATGTGTCGCTTGTTGTTTGCATCAACAGTGATTTCGTGCGTATTGCAGTCGTCATTGGCACGGTGTACTGTATCCTCTTGCTGCCCGTACTTCTTTGGTCGGACCACTTTGACAGTCACTTCTCTTGTGATGGTAATTTCAATCTGACCTCGCTTGCTGCCGGCTGGTTTGGATAGTCCGTCGCGGGCCATCGCTTCGGTCATATCAGCCAAGTCTTGTTCCAGATCCGTCTTTGGGATGTCCGCGTCCGTTTCTGAGATATTCATGTGACCCAGCAAGACATCGATCCCTTTTTGGCGAAACACCCAGGGCAACACCAGGTACCTCGTGAGCATTCCAGACTCGGAGTCGCTACCAGTGACCACATCGTCCTCCATGACAGCGCCACAACAGCGACCTTTGAACACATGGCCTTCAGAGCGATAATATTGTTCGCCAGGTTCGGTAGGGATCTGAAGGTTGTCTTCGCTTCTGGAGTTGCCATCAATGTACACGGATGCGAAAAATTCATAAGGTCTGTTGGGCTTACCATCTCGCTCGTCGCAGTCCATGGCGTTGTTTGCATTGGAAGACTCCAAGCTTTGCCTGCTGACCGGTTGCTGCTCGCCGCCAACTATTGCGTCCTTCGGTTCAGGAAATGGGAAGTCCGGTTTCACTCGAATCTGGAATCTGGCACCGTCTCGAGCTTCCATGCTGGTATAGACAACTTTCCCTCTAGAACGGGTTCCATAGGTGGTGAGTGGTGTGCCATCAACTCCTTCGACGGTGATATTGAAGCCTTGCACCGAAGGCATCTTTGCCGGAGATGAGGGTGGAAAAGATGAATAGGAACTGATGTGGTTGCTTGGATACTATTGGTGTTTCCGGCCATTGGTGAGGCTGGAAGTGTTTAAGAGCAAAGGAAAACGCGAGCCCGCAGACTGCTTTTGGCGACATGGAGGCAATTCAAGAACTGCCCAGCTCAACGCAGTCAGAAGCGACAATGGCTCATTATGCTTCGAGACGCCAGCTGCCTTAGAAGGCGAAGGCAGTGGAAGTGAAACATCGACCTCGGTCTTTGTGCTCTTTCAGTAGCCCCTTCGACTTCTTTGTCCCGGGCCGGATTTTCGGCGCGCAACGCAAGGAGTCGTCGATGCGAAGGACAATGCAAGGTCAACGACTCGAGACCGCAGAAAACATAGTCAGATACAGTGATCAAGGTTCAGCGGCGAGGTACGGCGATCTCATATCCAAGTAGAACTTCAGCCGAAGCGCCTTCCCAACCACGATTGCCTCCAGTGGAGAGCATGAATCGACAAGCTGGGTCGAGGAAGAGATGTGACACAACCCCAGTTCGATGACCAGGAACGATCAAGAACGGGACGGTTGACCGTGAAGCGTGAGATTCTTTTAGGTCATATAACCGTAGAATGTCGTATGAAGCGCAGATCAGATGCCGGCCGTTGGGCATCGCCTTGACCGAGGTCACTGCACCGCTTCCGTTGGGAAACCGGAATACCCGTTCGGGTCCTTTGAGGCCCTTGCGTAAGTCGTATTCCTCCACTGTGTTATTCCGTCGACCGGCGTAGATAAAGTTGCCGTCTGGGGACCAGCAGGCGCTCAGACACCATGGCGGAGTGTTTCGTGGCAGAATACGTGCGACCGGTTTTGACTGTCTCCTATCCCAGACACGTATCGCGCCGTCGATGGAAGTCGCCAGGAAGGTCGAGTCAGAAGTATGTGGTGCTTCGCTGTCCTGGGTCGTTACTTCATCCTCGACATGCCTTTCCAGATCATCTGCATGGGGCAAGCCATTCGTGATTGGTTCCTCAGTAGAATCAGGTATTCCATTCGTCAGCTCACCAGCAGATACCTGGTGCTGAGAACTGTCTGGGAGGGCACCTGCAGCATCGTTGGTCGAGTCCACAGAATCCAGCATGGGATGATCAACTAGATCTTCCGGTTGTGGTCCGTTTGCCATTGCCCGACTCATCTCGTCGTCTTCAACCCCAAAATCATCAGTGAGACCACCCCCATTGGCCATGACACCTCCATCGTCGCCAAAGAGATCGTCGTCCCCTCCATCTCCGAACAGGGAATCTGGAGTCGCCACAGTTGGATGTTCCTGGGTATTTTGACTGGGGAGATCGCTCTTAATACCGTTGGTGAGAGATTTGCCATCGTTCGATGAAAATGTTCCATTGGATACCACGACCTCTCCAGATTCTGCGGGAACAGGCACAGACGAGACTGGCCGCGTTTCAATCGAGGATATCTGACCGGCGCTGCCAGCGAACGTTGTTCGAACCTGACCAGTATTGAGGTCCCAATCTAGGACTGTCTTGTCCCAGCTGCCGGACAGCAAGCTCCTCTCGTCGGAAGAAAGCGTGAGGACCGAAACGGCTGACGTATGCTTCTGAAGCAAGGTGATTTCCCTGCCTTCGTCGTGCCGGATGGACTGCAGTCGAATCGGACCAGAAGCTGTACCAGACAACAGCCACAGTGCCTGACTATGGCAAGCAAGAGAATACACGGGCGACAGTGTCTGAGTTGTGTTTGGTCGAGCATCCCAATTCTCCCAGTAGCTCATCAATACTCCGGCTTTCACGACGCTGTCAACGAATGGGTGTCTCTGTGCTACCGTAAGTGCCAGTTTGTTGTTGATGGAATCGACCCAATTGAATTTGCGAATATAGCCATCAGAGCCACCAGTAAAAACCCATCGCATATCCCCCGTGGTACAGACTGCGTTGATAGAAGTGCTGTGAGGGGCGGCAACGGTGGGGACAATATCGTATGACCATGCGTTGAGGTACTCTGCAGAGATGTTGGAAGCCGTTGCAGCCCCTCGCGAAGAGTCTGCCTGTGCAGAGGCAGTTTGCTGAGTACCGTCCTGTGTTGCGCCCGGTTCACCAGAAGTGTCTTCGTTGTCAGATTGCTCAGATTGGCTCTCGGCATCGTCGTCCTCGTCGCCTTCACCTTCAGCATCCCCATCGCCCTCAATATCAAGATCACCGTCGCCATCGCCGTCTCCCTCGCCGTCCCCGTCACCGTCCTGATCTATGTCTGCATCGCCGTCGATATCGCCGTCGGCATCAGCATCGTCCAGATCTTGCATGGTTTCATCGTTGTCGTTGTCGAAGCTCCCATCCTGGGAACGCTCGTCATCTTCGTCGAACGCAGGCATATTGCCACTCACATGACTCGGCAATAGGCTGTCGTTGAGGTCTACCACACCGACGTGATATCGATGGCGGCAGATTAGAAACAGGAAGAAGGACAATTCGTCTCCGAGTGACAGTGAGGAAGGTTCTCAAGATCCAACCATTCCACATAAGGTCTAGCGCTGCGCTTGTCAATATATGATCCTCCGGAGCTTGGTTCTGGGGCAGTCACAGCAAGAACTACTATCCATCCTCACACATTGATTAATAGCTCACTTTCAATTCATTTCTGCAGGATTTTTCAATATACTCCTTGTATTTTTTTTAATGCTTCCCAGGTGTCGGAGGCTGTGCCGACAACCTTTGCATTTGGTGGACTTAGGACGCCGTACCATCTTTCTCGGTTCGGCAACGACAACGCTGCTGTCGTCCTGACGCCCGCAATTTTCTCGTGTGGCTCAAAATGCTTGCTTGCTTTACTCGTTGTGTAATATTGGCGCTCCAAGCTACCAATACCCTTTTTTACTGAAAGGTGTTTGCGGGCAACGGTGCACTCTTCTCCTTTTCTTTCAGACAGAGCCGGTGGGTTTGGGCGTTATTAGAATTCTACTTAACTGTCCCTCATACGCTGTGAAGCGTCCAACACTGACCGCTCATCTCAACTGCAGCTCTCGGTCTGTCTCATAACTATTGCCGCTCGACAGGTTCTCTACGGAGTTTTCGCGTAAGTCGTCAAGACTAGCCTGTCGCTCTGCCTTCGTTACACTTCTGATCGCCGTCAGAATCGAAACGGGGATATCTGTGCTCACAGAATTGTAGCCGTTTCCTCACTCACCTATCTTCAGCACTCTATGGAAGTCGCTACTTCTTAAACCACAGCCGCCATCCTGGACATGATGACACCAGGCCGCGGCATGAGCAACCGCGGACGAGGCCGAGCACGCCATCCAGGTGGCAGGGCATCTGTTGGTAAATCAATCACCTCCTCGGATCCTGGTCTCAAGTTAGACTTACAGTGGTCCTCATTCGGAAGTGACTGACGCGCCTCTCCTCAGATGTCCGGAACTCATTCGCCTCTCTTGACATTAACGAAGGTAGGTTAGAACACAGATCGGGCAGATACATGACGTGCTCAGCCGATGCGCCTTGCCCAGATCTTTGCACCATGCTACGCCCCAGAGGAATGCACTTGCTGACCGCGTCTCTAGAGATGAATGCAGATCTTTCGGAACGTTTCAAAGGTCCATCCCGTCGTCCAAACACTCACATTGCTGTGACTAGTGCTCTGGAGGACGAGCTCGACCTCACCCTGAATCTCGACATCCGCGACTATGTCTCGAAGCAAGAACAAATTGAGTCCACTTCCGATAGAGACGGGTGGCTGTCACAACCAGAGATCCCGACAAATAAAGAGCTGTTTGCCGACTCAGCCGATCTTCTACCAAACAAGATTGACGGCCCCTACAAGACCAAGGATCGATACCTGAAAACGCACTACGAACTGGTCCGAGAAGACGCAGTTGGCTGCTTTCGCGACGCTATTCATGACTTCCGCAAGGATCCCTCAACTGGAGACACACACAAATTCTCCGTCTATGATCAAGTTCACATTGTCGGATTCACATTCGCTCGCCGAGGTCTGGCTGCCAGGATCAGATTCTCCACGCGACGCGCAGGCAAACGGATCAAGTGGCAAAACAGCAAGAGGCTTGTCAGTGGCAGCATCGTCGCTCTACTTCCTGCCAAAACGAAGTCGATTGACCTAAACGATCTGGTGGTGGCCATTGTGGCCGCGAGACCGCTGCAAGGCGTCACATGCGAACCCCCAGAGATCGATATCCATTTTGGCCGTTCAGACGATATTCAACTCGATCCGCAGAAGGAGTGGCTCATGATCGAGGCGAAACAGGGATACTTTGAAGCCTATCGTCACACGCTGAGGGCTCTGCAAAAGCTTAGCCAAGAGAAGTGAGCTCTCTACCCTCGTATGCCGGTTGGCCTTGCTGATAATATCCAGATTTCCTTTGTCTGACCACATCTGCCACCTTCAACCCTCAGATGAGCCTCCTGCCTACCTTCAGAAAGACCCCGTCCTAGATATTAGTGCTGCCGCAACAGACCCTGCTCAGAAGAAAGATTTTCAGAAAGTCGATGTCACAAAAGACTGGCCCGCCACCCCCTCCAATTCACTCGACAGCACGCAATGGGATGCTCTAAAAGAGATTCTAACCAAGCGTCATCCCATTGTCCAAGGTCCTCCTGGTACCGGCAAGACGTATGTCTCACGTGTCGCAGTGGAAATCATGCATGCCAATCGAAAGCCAGATGACCCACCCATCATCATTGCTGCCCAGACAAACCATGCACTCGACCAACTCCTCGGACACATTTCTCTCTTCGAACCAAACTACATCCGACTGGGAGGCAGATCCACCAAGCCCGAAGTCAAGAAACGAGCTCTTTTCGAGATCCGGCAGGGTGAGAGGATCAGGCCCATTCCAGGAGGCCTCTTCGGCAAGTCGAACACTCTATTAACAAAGCAAACCAAGGGTTTGATAGAATTACTTGAGCCATTTGTCATGCCTGGTCCTGACCCCTGGTCCACTGATCAAATTTCTGGTCCTCAGATGTTGCAGAAACTGGGAGTTCTCACCGCACAGCAAGCAAAGTCATTGGAAGATGGCGCGACGCAATGGGTTTCAGCGAACACCGCTCTGAACGCTCCTATACGACTGTGGCTGGGCAAATCACTAGTACCTTTCGAGGTTGATTACGTCCAAGAGAACTATGGCTTCGTTGAAGGTGACGATAACGACCTTGAATTTGAGCAACTCAGAGAAAACGAAGATTCCACGGGCGTCAATGATGAAGAAGACATTGAGATGTTGAAAGGCCCGTGGCGTGAACTTCGCGACAAGTTCATGGTCCCAGAACCCTCTACAGCGGATCTGAGCAGAGCAATGAAGCTTCTCGACACCGTGACAGACATGTGGAAAATCCCTGACTACTACCGTGCTCATGTATATCATGCCATGCAGTCCCAAGCAAAGGCCAAAATCACTAGCAGGTTCCGCGAAGATGCAAAGGTCTACAACAAGCTGGTGAAAGACAACCTGGTTGGCAAGTGGGAGCAAGATGTTGTCTACCTGCGACGAGCTTCCATCATTGGCATGACCACCACCGGTTTGAGCAAATATAGGCCGCTGATCTCAGCTCTCAAGCCCAAAGTGATCCTCATCGAGGAGGCCGCTGAAGTCTTGGAAGCCCCTGTCACAGTAGCCTGCACGGAGAACCTTGAACATCTCATCCTCGTTGGAGATCACCAGCAACTACAAGGCCATTGCAGCGTACAGGAGCTGGAGAATGAGCCTTTCTACCTGAACGTGTCGCTGTTCGAAAGACTCGTACGCAACAAGATGCCCTATAAGACGCTGCTCCAGCAACGTCGCATGATGCCAGAGTTTTGCCGCCTCGTCGCCCCCTTGTACCCGGGCCTTACCAACCATCCAAGTGTTGTCAATCGTCGCCTTGAGACCTGGGGAACAGGTGAGGTCAGATCGTTCTTCTTCGATCACCCGTGGTGGGAAGCGAAAGACGAATCGCTCTCGGTAGTCAACCCCGAAGAAGCCAAATTCATTGCCGGGTTTTACCGCTACCTGTTCAGAAACGGTATCGATCTCACTCGGATCACCGTCTTGACGTTCTACAACGGCCAACGCAAGCGAATCCTCCGTGAGTTGAAGGAGTTCCCCGAGTTCCGGACATACGTCAACGTGAAGACGGTCGATTCGTGTAAGTTAACGGACCAGCAGGATATAATTGACTATACTGACGTCGCTCTAGATCAAGGAGAGGAAAATGACATCGTCATTCTGTCCCTCGCTCGAAATAATCAAGAAGGCAAGATTGGCTTCTTGGAGAACGTCAACCGGAGTTGTGTGGCTCTGTCCCGAGCAAAATATGGGTTCTATCTTTTCGGCAATTCTAATATCCTCATGCGCAACAGCTTTTTGTGGCAAAATGTCATCACTCTGATGGATTCAAAGCCTCGGCGGCGAGGTGAAGAATTTCCGGTGATGTGTAAGCGCCATAATATCACCACGCTAATGAGCTACCCGGAGGATTGGGAGAAGACCGACGGCGGCTGCGCGCAACCATGTGGGGTGGCACTACAATGTGGTCATCCTTGCCATCTTCTGTGCCATTCTTACTCCCATGACAACGTTCAGTGTGTGAGAGACTGTGGAAATACCTTGCCCTGTGGTCATGGATGCTCAAGTAAGTGCGGGGAGCCATGCTTTTGCCCCTGTGAAGCCTTCTCAACCTTCAAACAAGCGGATGCGGTGGCGGAGGGGTCAACTACCATGGACGCCGGCCAGGGTGACGCGAATCAAGATGTTCGTGGAGCTCAAGTGAATGGTCAGGAACTTTCCTCGCATGACAGCACATCTTACTTACCTCAGCAGGACTCTACGTTGGATCGCGGGGATAGGAAGTTTCATCCAGCTGCTTCTGTTCTTGGACCTACCCATGGTCTCTCAACCGATCAGCAAACGTTCACAACCGGATATCGAATAGGCGACTCTTGGATTGCGACTCAACAGCAGGCAATTCACACGAGTTTGGTGACTCCCAAAAATCAGGGTCAACGGGAGAGAGGATGGAAAGACTCTGCGCAGGGAGGCTTTCACGCTGCCGACGAACGACTACAGAACATCATTACACTGTCCATGCCGCTCCTTCCTGGTAGTGGACTTGAGTCGGGAGGTAACTTTCACATGTCACCCATCAGAAGAGAGGCAGTCAAAGTTCTGAGCGATGGCAGAACAAGCGTCTGGCAGGAGTACCAACCTGCACCGGTGTATAGCCAGGGCTTCCCATGTAACACCGCACGCAGAGACCCTGGTTGTCCGACAGAACTCGGAGGTGGCGGACTGTCGAACCCCGGCTGCATGGATCGGAAGCAGTCTCTTTAAAAAGCGGCGGGGGGCCTCATCGTGGAGACGACCGCACGGGTCCCCTTGAATTCATCAGCGACCGAGCCAGACATGAATGCTGGAGACAGTGCGACGGAAGATCTGAGGGATTTGAATGATTACTTTCGGACTTTCTGAACGAATGGAAATCGTCAGGCTGGCAGACAGCTTGAAGGATTGAGAGACGCGGGTGAGACCGAGCTGGTGAATACTAATCGTGGCGTGAGTGAAGGAGCTCTCCATTTCGATGCCCACAGGTCCAAACGGGATCACTATCAAACAGATCTTGTGAGCAATGACGGCTACTTCGTACGCTGCTTGAAATTCCGGAGTGCAACCGCTTAGACTCAGATACTCGTGGAAAGGCTGAATGCTAGACCGCAATATTCTTCTACGGCACTGTCATATAAGAATCCATTGACCAACTGTACAGCCGAAACAAAGAACTAAGATTTCCACAAAGCCACGTGAAAAGAAGGATGCCATAATGTCTCTCTGAACGTAGCATCCATTTCGCCACTGTACGATGACCCATATATAGGACTAAATACAGGGTATTACCTGGGGGTTGCCTATTGCATTCCCATATTTACACAAAGTTCTCGGAGAAGATGACCGCCTCGTCGGGGGTCTTCCTGAGAGCTCGAGAATACAGCCACGCACCATGATGGCCGGTGACGGTTCCCTGGCTCTGGAGCACGCGACCCACCTCAGCCTCATCCGCTGAGCGCGCGACGGTTGGCAATGCTCTAGGATGGTGACGGTGCTCCGAAGGGGGTGAGTGATACGGTCTCTCCTTTTGGGATATCTCGGACGCGGCACGAAGTGCTGAATGCCCAGTGGCTACGGCATGTGAGTGATCGCCGTGCTTGGAGATAGCAGCAGCAGCGTCATAGCGAGAGTGAACCGATGAATGCCAGAGGCCGATTCCAACAATGTCTGAATATACCGCCGCTGGGCGGCGTGTCGGGCGACCGCGAAGCTGTTGGGACGGGAGGTGCTCCTCGCACTTTCTCGCTGCACATGACATGCACCTTACTCTACCGCGCTGTTCGCGGCAGCTGCCTCCCGGAGCCCCTGATCTGATCTTTTCGTGTTGAATCTTTTGCACGCTCATAGCAGCACCAAACCCAGAATGACGGCAAGCGTCGTTGTCAAGTATCCGTAGCGGTTCGTCGATATCTCGAACGAGTCTGACGTGAGGGCACTTGTGGTGAAGATGAGGTCGCTGGAGATCTGACTCGAGTTGAAGCAGTTGCTCGCATTGACTTCCGGGACGTCCTCCGGCTCCGCAAACGTGATGTCGACACAGTTGTACAGGGCAGCACCGTGGACGGCCGTCTCGATGACTTGGATGGTTGCATTGTCTCCGACATTGACGGTGAGGTTGGCGGGGAGAGGAACCTGGGGGAAACAGAACGAGCCCGGGTATGGGTCTTTGCTGGGGCCGATGATTTGCACACCGGAGAGCATAACGTTCGACATGTTCGGCGGGTTTGTTCCCAGCCCCAGGTTGATGTAGATAAAGGCGGATCCGTGGCCCTGGAACCACCCAGGCTGGAATGCGACAGCACCGCCTTTCACCGGCCATTTCGTGCGGTTGGTCGAGGTGGGCATCCCACCGCCTATGCTTGTCAGTTTTCCCCCCAGCACAGCATGCCGAACGATGGGGCGGAGTGAGCCTTACATGGATACATCCATTGCATGCCATAGGGGTAGAGATAATCTTGTCCTTCGGCGAATGTGCCCAAGCCGTCCGTCTGGTCAACCGTGCCGTTCGAATGCAAATTGTCCCCTCTCCAACCCGGGTACGTGATGACCGTGTGTGCGTGTGCGAGGCTGAAGAACGCGAGGACGGCGACGGCTACCGACGAGACCGAGGACGAGAGCATTTTGGCGGGCGCGTGTTCGCAGTTTTCCGTTTCTCTGTGAGGCGACGAACACACGACGGAGAATGCAATGCGGCCTTGAGAGGAAGATCGCACACTCAAGTGTTCTTCGAGTCTGTGCTGACTTCGGTCGTCGACGTGGTCAGGAAAGCTTTTGGGAGTGACCGGGTCGGCGAGGTCGCAGTGGAGATGCTTCGCTCGAGGTGGAAGACCGTCTTGGAGCCATTACGGCGGCCATGCAGTGTTATAGGACTCGCTGCCGGTGGCCAAGGTGATTGGGATTAGGCCAGACAGACAACCGCCCAGTCCTTTCCGACCACGAAGCCCTGTGATGGCTGCCGCTATTGGTTACGGACCGGAGACGTGGGCGGCAAAACGACCGAGTCACCCGCGTATCTCAGCGCTGATTTGCCGGCCGGCGGTGGACAGGAGCTTACCATGGACAGGGATCTCACCCGTTGCATCTGCCCCTCCAACTCCAGAGCCAACGGAGCCAAGCTCGGCTCGAGACTGGATCTGGACGCCCAGCGTGGGACCAGTCATTGCGAACTTGGGCGCCCCACCGCCTAATCGAGGCGTGATTTCTGGGTGATTTCACTCTCAGATCTCAGTCCCACTCCACCGACGCTCCAGAGACAGTGTGAGCCGGCCAGCGGCAACTCGCATCACGCGCCTTTCTGCTTCCATCGCAAGATACAGCGCATTTGGCGGTTGCACAGATTGCGTGTCCCGATGCAGTGTTCAGGAGCGAGCAACAACTGTCCGCTGGCTGCAAACGCATGCGAAGTCCGAAGGCCAGACAAGCATTGTTAGGTCTTACAGGTGCATGGTGGCGGGCCTGGACGACTGCTCGAGTCTATCGATCCTGGTTTGCCCCAAGTTCCTGGCACTTGCTGACCGAGGTCTCAGGCGCGTGGCCGGTGCCTCGAAATCGTCCTGGCTCTCTGGGTACGAGCATGTGCCCCGATGACACAAGCTTCTTCTCCGGGTCCATGGTCCTTCACCGTCGAATCACGTCTGAGTCCACTTCCAATAGCTGCTACTGTGTATATAGGCTAGCACTGGAGTACAACCGGACCTTTTGTTCAGCCTCGTGCTTCTTGTGAACGTCAACCACATTCGAATCTCCATCGAATTTTCCCTGAACATGACTTATGACCGCTCCGTGGCTTTCTTTGCGGCCCCTCTACACTGTCTTTTGACCGTGTTTTGCCGGCCGCAGACTCAAATTGCCAGGAATATGGCTCAAGTAAGCCATTGTCCATGCGCTCGGACGAGCCAGGTCCTGCCAGACCACGATTGCTTGCAAAGCACTGACGTCGACGAGGCATGGATTACAAATGAAAGGTTTGGGAAGTTTCGAAAGTGCTAGATATCGGCCGTCTAATGAGTATAAATGGCGGTTTGTGCCCCGGCCATCTCGATATTCATTTTAAACATCAGACAGCACTGTCAAAGCTCGTCTTGTGATTGATAGAAGCAGCCTCTCCAAACGACTATAAATACATCAGACTAAGCAACATGCCCTCCTATCTAGTGACAGGCGCCAACCGTGGCCTGGGTGTGAGTTGGAGACGTTCCGAGATTCGGTCCATGTGTACTCCGTAATTACTGACTCTTTCCCAGTATGGCTTTGTGCAGCATCTGGCCAAGGACCCAGCAAACACAGTCGTCGGCATTGTGCGGGACAAAGCCGCTGCCGACAAGACTGTGGCTGCTGATGGATTCAAGAATGTCACCATGGTCGAGGCAGCCATCGTGGACTACAAATCGCTCCTAAAAGCAAGAGACGAGGTCGCCAAGATCACTGGCGGCTCGCTCGACTACCTGATCAACAACGCCGCCTTTATCGACCGCAAAACCATGGGCAAGGCCCTGGATGAGTTCGACAACGAGGCCGAGATGTTGGAGGACGCGCTCGTCGAGTCCTTCAAGGTCAACGCGGTGGGCGTCATCCACACCATCAACGTATTCCTGCCCCTGGTGAAGAAAGGCTCGGCCAAGAAGGTGGTGCTCATCTCGACCGGCATGGCTGACCCGGCGCTCATCAATTCCGGCATCGCGGCCGACGCGCCCTACGCGATTAGCAAAGCTGCGGCGAACACGGCCATTTACAAGTACAATGCGAAATACAAGAAGGAAGGGATCCTGTTCTTCGCCTTGTCTCCGGGCGTGGTTGCCACTTGGAAAGAGGGAGAAGAACCAGAGGTGATCGACAGCCTGAGGAAGGGCGTTCCTGGCTGGGGAGGGCCCTTGACGCCTGACGAGTCGGCCACAGCCTGTATGAAGGTGATTCACTCTTTCAATGCAGAAGAGCATGGCGGCTCGTTTGTTTCTCACCACGGGAACCAACAGTGGCTATGATGGTCTGGCACGAGCAGGGGCCTATTAAGTCAAGGGTTGAATAGACAATAAATAAGCAATGTATCTCTACTGGGTACAATTTTATACACTTGGAGCTTGTCGTGTCGGTTGAACCTCGGTAGCATTTATTTCCAGCGTGTCAGAAGACGTGTGTCGGTTGAGTAGAAAATTATGTCCATTTGCTCCATGTGTGACGGAGAGGCTGTTGATGAAGATGTTTTCAGCTTCAGATCCTCGCCCGCCGCCGCCGCCGCCGCCGCTCCTCAGCTGGACTCGGCATATTTCAGTCTCCCCTCTGCACGCGGTGAGTGCTGTGTGACCTGCCCGCCTTGCAACCATCTCAATCTCTCCTCCTGCCGACCGACTGACCGACCGACCGACCGACCGACCGACCGACCGACCGACGTAGAGGGCTCCAGCCACCTCGTTCCCAGCAGCTGTGCCAACGTAGCGACCAGCCTGTCGAAATGCCACATACAAGCCACAGAAAGAAGAAGCATGTCCAGAACAAGAGAACGGAGATCCTGGATGACGATGGCTGGACACGGATTTCCTCGTCCAGCACTTCCACAGGGAAACCACCCCCTACCACATCGACGCCTACCGGGAATGAAACTTCAAGCGCAGCAGGACCCCATATCCTCAGCGCAAGCGGATCATTACCGGCTCGCGACCCCATGCCGGCCCTCCCAGGATCGAGCCTCCCGTCCATGCTCTCTCGGTTCAACGACATCGAGTCGCGCTGGCAGGCCACCGATCTTTGTAAAACGCTCACCCACGTCCTGGAGGAGGAGATCTTGACGAGGCACACTGGACAGATTGGCCCCGTCTCCACGTGCGTCATGCTCGGCAGCGGCTCCTTCTGCGGCGACGCGGCGCACTGGATCGACAGGCACGACTCGGCGTACTTTCAGCTCGCGGCGTTCAGGACCATCGTCCACACGGTGGAGAGGGTGTCAGGCCAGCGTGTGCGCACGTACGCCCAGGAGCCGAACTACAATGACTTGGACGCCGAGCTGCTCAAGTCGCTCGACATCACGAGGGTGGATCATCCGCGGGGGTTCGAATTGCTGGACGAGCACGCCGTGGCGTATTCGCCGGCCGCGGAACGCGAGGTCGAGGCGGGTATTATGGCGAGGAAGCCGAGGGTCTGGCTCCATCGATCGTTGGATTACTTGCTGGAAGAGGGCGGTCTGGGAACGAGGTCGGCGGTGGAGTTCGCGACCAGTCACGACCACAGAAAATTGCCGGCCCTGGATGTCAAGAACTTTCCATTCCACGGATCGGTGATTTGGTGGAGGAAGAGGGAGCAGGACCCAGATCATGGCCAAGACCATCCAATCGAGGAGATCGATACCTGACTGTCTAGGTTCTGCGTCGATATCTACTTATGACCATGTGACCGTGGCTGTCAGAACATTACTTGATGTCGGAACTCTGCACGACGGTGCCGAACGCATCACTCAGCTCCTTCAACGTCGCCTCGGTGACCTCGGAGCCACTGATCCCAGGGATGTCTCGGTCTCCGATAGCATCCTTCGCCAGCACGACGTTATATCCCAGGTCGTTCCCCTGCCTGGCCGTCGTGCTCACGCACACATGAGCCATATACCCCACCAGGACGGTCTTCTTGCCCCGCTCGCCCAGGCTGCTCAGATACTCATGCAGATCCGTGTTCGCGAAGCTCGAGATAGCTTGCTTCTCGACCACCTTCTCCCCCGGCCGGGCTTTCAACTCGTCAAACTCCTCCGCCAGGGCCGTGTTGGGCGTGAACACCGGCGCCCCGTCTGGGGTCTTGTGCACGACGTGGACGATGTTCTTCCCATCGCCAGCGGCCCGGTATTTCTCCAACAACGAAGCGATGGCCTTGCGGGTTTGCTCGACATTGACGGTCTTGAGCTGTCCCTCGGCGTATCTAGCGGTGGTCAGAGTTCAGAACGCCACGCGATTCATATGGAAGGAGCGGACTGGCGCAGCGCGCGAGCGAAACAAGCACCATATAGGTCTGTTGCATGGCTGTCGCAGGGCTGTTGCACGGCGTTGGTTTTGAAATTACTTACTCGTTCTGCGCGTCGATGATGATCAGCGTGCTATCGCTAGGAGAGGCCGTCGCCCGGGGCGCACCCAGCAGGTCCCTCAACGATTTGACTTGGGTGGCGGACGTCATGATTGATGTGAGTGGAGGAAGAGTATGAGTCGGGGGTGTAGTTCAGTTACACTTCAGTCGGAGGGAGAAGATAAAATAGATGGACGAAAGGACCTTCCTCGTCGAGATGGAGAAATCGAATGACCCACGGCAGTGTAGCCGGTTGAAACACTGTTTATGTACTTTTCCGTCTCGGTCAGTAAGTAAGTCTGTAGGAGTGAGCGAGCGAATATGCCAAATACTCATTTATACGCAGTAGGCAATGCAATGTCCGCGGATGTGTCAGCCAAACCGACCAGAGGGAGCAAGGCAATTAGGTAATTACACACTAGAACTGGGAAGCAGCCACACTTTACGCTCGCCCTCAGGCTTGTCAGTTGTCCTGTCCTGTCCGGTACTACAGTACCTTGTGAGAGTAAGGAAAAACCGAGAAACCCGAACTGGGTTGCCCAGCGAGAGCCCTGTCGCCCACGCGCACCCCGCGATCATAATCCGATCCCCGTCATCGGGCGGAAAGTGATTTGATTGGCCTGGCTTGGCCTGGCCTGGCTCGTGTTGTACCGAAGCTACTCTCGCTCCCCTTGCCCCGCTTAATTAACTGTCCTCGGCATGAGTGTTGTGTACAGATATTGGCGGTACGAGTATTTGGCAATGAGTGGTGTTAGTAAACAGAAACACAAACGCCCCTGCCAACGCGCTGACAATGTCCAGGTGAGTACGTAAATACACTGGCGACCATCGCCATCGCCATCGCCATCGCCATCGCCTTCGCCATCGCCATCGCCATCGCCTTCGCCATCGCCATCGCCATCGCCTTCGCCATCGCCATCGCCATCGCCTTCGCCATCGCTCGTTGGTTTCAGGAAACGTCTCAGTCAGCAGCATGCCATGGCAGACCAGACCACTCACTTGCTTAGCTACTGTAATTCATGCGACTTGCAATCACCACAAACAAGACGTTGAGAGCAGCAGCAGCAGCATGCCATGCGATACCATGCCGTGCCAGACCACTCACAGCTTAGCTACTGTAATCCATGGGATTTGCAATCACCGCAAACAAAGACGTCCTGAGAGAGAAGAGAGGGTCAAAGGTGAATGAGTGGGTGGGATGTGTTACTGTATACTCCCTACACCGAGACACGGTACGAGATGCCCAGACTTCAGTTTGCCCTTCGTAGCTCGTACCGGCCCCGGTCTGGTTCCTTACGTGCGACGACAACCACAACCAAAGAAATGAAAGTCAAGAAAAGAAAGTGATGGAAAACAACCGCGACGCTAATGGTAATGACTTTGAGAATCCTTCCTGCGCTTTCATCGTCTCCCAACAAATCCATTCAACACCTACATACCTAAGCCGTCATCCATCCCTAAGTGTGGGCATGAAACTACCTATTTTTCTCATGGACCCAGCTAAGTCTTGCTACCATGTACACGGGGTATTGCCCGACACATTGTATGCACATGTATAGTCAGTCTGCCTCGAATGATGGCCCTGAGATGCCTGCCTCCACATTAACCGCTTCCTCCGTGCTCTCTTCCCAAATCTACAATCTTGAGCCGTGGATGATCTTCATGTCGACAATCAACTCGCGACCGCCATCGTTGATGACCAAGACGCGGACACTGCCTCGGCCGTCACTGAATGCGCGATCAATGCGTTTGAACAGGCCGCCCTGGTCAACGACAGGCAGACCCTGCTTGACGTCGCCAGTCTCGGTCATGCAGACAATCTGGCCATCCTCACGGATGTCCAAGACGCGATACTGCTTGAAGACGGGGCCGAGCATGGTCTGAACGACGACTGACGGGGCAGGGTTGCTGATGAAGGAGGTCTCCTCGTGCAACTGGCGCGTGAACAGGTCCACCCCGAGGTAGCGGTATTGCCCGGTTTGAGACGACATGGTGATGCGGATGACCTGCGACGGACGACCCTGGAGAAGGAGGATGTCGCCGATGCGGATAAAGTGACACTGAATGGGCACCCCGCGGCCACCGAAGCGTGGCTCGACGAAGCGGACTTGCTCGACCGTGCCATCACGGACACGCGTTGGGCCAGCGGACTCTCTTGACTCGGTCACGACCACCTCCTCGCGGCCGCCATCGTGGTGATGGTGCGAGAAGGGGTGTAGGAGGCGGTCGGCCGCACGCTCCACGCCACGGCGGAAGCTGTGGTATTGGCCTTCGTCGTCGTAGTAACCCATGTCGTTTCTGATCGGTTGATCGACCTTGACTTCTTCCTGCTGAACAGAGACTGCGGCTCCTGTGGGACGACGGCGTTCGTACTCGACGTCGTAGGTGGGATCGACGCGTCGACGATACTCTCGCTCAGTCACGTCTAGTTGACTCTCGTAGGTCTTGTCGTAGGTCTGACGGCGGTCGTAGTCGACTTCGACGTGGTCACGGGTGTCGCGACGATCGATCTCGATGTCAACGTTGGTGGCCTTGTACTCGGCTGGTGCACGGTACCTGTGGAGCATCATGTGTCAGTGGTGGTGGTCAATGCAAAGACGCCAGGGCACCGGGGCACATGGACACGGGACGCGTGGAGGCACGTACTTCTCGCGGGTAAGCTCTACTTCGGGGTACTTGCGGTCGCGCTCTTCGTAGATCCGAACGTCGTCTCGCTGGTACTGCTGCTGCTGCTGCTGTTGGTGGTCGCGGCGTGGACGGCTGTCTCTGTAGGAGATGTCGACCTCTTCCTTGGAGAACCGAGTATCTTCCCGTCCGACGCGCGAGGAGGGTTGGGGGAGTTGGACTTCCCCTTCTACCTTTGTGAAGGTAGTCTCTTGGGCAGAAGCGTCACTCCGGTACGTTGACGGGAAGACACTGGGCGGGATGGGGACTCGGGCGTCAAAGTCCAGATTGCCAGTTTTCAAAGGCGCCTTAACTCTCTTCTCCCTTGCGGCAGTCGAGAGTCAAGACTGTCTTCTGGGGAACTGGTCCGGGGGGAAAGAAGGGGGTGGGTGGGTGTGTGGAAGCTTAGAAGCCGACAATGCACGCTGAGCAAGTCAATGGGCAACTGAGGATAGGCAAGAGGGCAGTGTGAGTGTGTGTGTGTGTATGTGTGAAGCGAGAAGGAAGGAAAGAGGAAAAGGAGGTCCAGCACGCCCGATTGTTTACTTATGGGCAGCAGAGAGTGGAGCAGCGAGTCTTGGGTCTGCCACACGCTGCCGGCGACGAGTCGCTCACGCTGAATCACAACAACAAACAGTTACCGGGGCAATCTCCACCGCCAAATCTCGCCCCAACGTCCCCGTTCGTGTCATCAGCACGAGGCTGTCTTCCAAAGTTGTCTGGAGAGAAGCACTCCTTGTTCACACGTTGGAAGACTTTGACACCATCGACTTCGAGAAGCATCGTCCCAAGGCTGCGGATCGCACAGCACACTGACACACCTCCAGTTCGACCTCTCTGCGGCGAGCCATCATCGTCCCAGCCTGTCACGCCCACCGATCCTGCGTGTACCCCGATCATTGGCCTCGTCTTACCTTCATGCCTGACCAACGCAGCCACGGAAGCAGCGCGTGCATTGTCCCAACCGTCCCGGAGCCCGTACGCTGCACCATCGAGCTTCAGCCACCCCGACCGGGGAACACTGGCTCTTGACATGAAGAGGAGGGCCCTTTGACGCGTGGATGAGGCGCCTTGCCCTTTGCCTGCAGATTCTCAGCTGGAGTGGTTCTGGCTAGCTGCATTGGCGCATGTGCATGCAGCAGCGTCGGACTCATGCAGCTCGCAAAGGCAGACAACATCGACAAGGATGGATATATTTCAAAAGTCACCGCACACAGCTCCAGGCATGTGGAAATTTCATAACGTTCGTCTCAATTGCTTTTGACACGGCCTCCTGGCCCTGTTACTTTTGCCCTTCCTGTCTACCTGATCTATCCAATCCTGCTTTCTCCAAGTAGCCAAACATGTCACGCTCCCAACGCTTGATCTTCGTATGATTGAATGCCCGTCCCACGCACCTCGCTATGCCTTCGACTCCCAGTTGGTGTATGCTGCATCCGTCCTCGGGACCCTTCACGGCGTTAGTGCCTCTGCACACAGTTCCATTCGTACTGCAGTCATGATTAGCTGTGCTTCTCGGGATATGCCAGGAGAACTCACCACTCTCCCGTCTTCATCTCCAGTGTAGACGACCTGTGCCATCGGCAGAATGCAACTGATCCCTGCACCGACATTGGCCCCATCATCCCGGCTGCTGTCGGCATGATTGAGCTGTCGAATGAGCTCTAGTTCAAACCGGCCTCCACGGACCACTTTACTCCAGATCCGGACTTGACCCCTCTTGTGGCCCGTGAAGACAAGGTCACGTTCAAGCCACTCGTTGCCCGCTCCTTCGTAGCATGCGCAAGACACAATGCTGTCTTGCGATCGGTCCCCAGAGTCCTGGCGGAGGAGCAAATCGCCGTTCAACGTGTACATGCTGATCTCGTGGCCATGACAAAGCACGATGTTACCCGTCACATCGTTGATCGCAGCACATTGCACCTGCAGCTCATCGCCCAGTTTGCGGATGAACTCACATCGATTGAGGTCCCAGAGCATCACCTGTCCATCCGTTGACGCTGACAGCAACGCGTTGAACGATCGTGAGATCGCCAGGACACTGACTGTTCTGCGGTGGCCAAACAGGGTCGCTCGAGGATGCAATTCGATCGTTTTGCCGCTCTCGACGGCTGACCATATGGCAATGGTGCAGTCGGTTCCAGCCGTGACGAGTGTCTGGGAGTCTGTGAACAAGGCACAAGACAGCTGACCAATGTGCAAGTGTTCAAAGAGGCCAAGCTGCTTCCGACTCTCGGTCGAGTAGAACCGTACGCTATTGTCAGAGAAGCCCCATTCAAGGTATGTGTCGTAGTCGGGAGGAATGTTGAGTCTGAATGGGCCCGAGCACAGCAAGCGATCCGACTTCCACGAGAATCGGAGTGAGGCCACCCTTTCTCCGGTTTCCAGTAATGTGGAGGGAAGCCGAGTCAACGACTCCGCAGCCGTGTCCAGTCGCTTATACCGGTGACGAGTTTGTTCTCGGGCCGGATGAGGCTTGGTGAAGATTTGGTACGGCGTCTGGCCGAAGTTGTGGATGATGCCGATAGTGGCCAGACGTTCCATCGGATCGGTAATGCTGTCCAAATCTTTCGCTCCCTGGTAGGAGAGATAATGGAACACGTTGACGGCATCGACGGCCGCCTCGCCCTTCTGTTTGCTGCCGAAGATCAAGTCAATCCACTTGTGCAAATTGCGGCTGACGTACGGACTTTCGAGCGCTTCACGCTGCTTTGCGATGAAGATGCGGGGATCCCCTCTTGCCCATGGCGGTAGCTCGACGTTGCCAATCGATTGGGAAGTCTGTCTGGTGCCGAAGTCGAAGTTGTTGATGTTGACCAGGAATTCCGGCAGGTAGTAGAACTCGGGCGTCAACTCCCGCACGTCAGTCATGTTCATCCGTGATGCGGACCTCCAAGCCCCTTCGATCGAGAAGAACATGCGGTCCGCATGGTCAAATGTGCCGCCTTGCAGGAGAAGGTACGATTTGACAAAGGGCTGCAGCCGAACGAGGTAAGACGTCACGATCATTGCCGATGAGTAGTGCGTGCCGTAGTGGAAAGCCGGCGTGCTGCTATCACCCATCTCCGCAAATGTTTGGTACCGATCCCGGAACTCCCTTTCACGCTCGGGGGTCTGACAACCCATAGGTTTGGAAAGATCGCGGAAGGTTCGAGGATCCGTGAAGTCAAGCTCTTCGCTTGTGTAATCTGCAATGACCCAGGGAAACACCGGATATTGGGTCAAGTCGTTGTAAGTTCGTCCGGCCATGGTGTTGATGAGCATGAGGTAGTGGAAGTTTGACATTTCTCCCTTTTGCCATTTGCGAGTAGCGGCGAGATAACTGGACTGCTGGCTGAACACGTTTGCGAACTTGGATCCCAGCGTCTGTGGCTCATCATCGACACTACGCAATGTTTCATAGCGCCACGCTGTCTCTGAGGGACTGCCCGTCCCAGAGGGTGAAGGTGCTTTAGCACTGATGAGACCGTGCAAGTCATTCCGGATCTGAGGCGAGATGACAGTCAGCAAGTAGCTTCTGCCGTCACCGAAGAAGATTTCGATCGCAACATCTCGGAATAGAAATCGGCGTTTCGAGACACTGATGATCTCGGACCACTTCCAGCTTCGAGTCCCATGCTCGTCACTGCGCGAGACAGTCTTGCGCTCCGTGACATCGCGCCCAGAGATCATCCGCACATAGGGATCACGCTCTTCTTGTGGCGCTTGCCAGACATTCAGGATCTCGCCATCGGCTCGTTGAAAGAAATTATCGAGTATGTAGATGTAGTCCTTTCCCAGGATGAGCAATCCTTCGACTGCCTCCAGGCCCAGAATACGTGAGATATTGGCGACGTGCTTGACTTGATCGCCTCGGTGGAGGCTGCGCATCACCTTCCGGTTCTTGTCCTCGAAGTCATCCAAATCAGCATTAGGATCTTCTACCAACTCGAAGCTTTCTTCGCCCTCTACGGGCTCATTCTGTTCCTCATTACCAGCCTCAAGATCTGCGGGTTGTTCCGGGCTTTCCTGAAGCTGAGGGAATGGCTCACTGGCAGGCTCGACTTGGCTCGGGGTCTCGGTGAGTGGCGTTGCTCCGCCTGGTGTCACTCCGATCGACTCCGCCGTGGACATTTTGGTATTCCGGGTGTCAAGGCGGAGCTGCGGCATGTCAGAGCCCTTTCTTTTCGGCTGCTGATCTTCTTCGGTATACGTGAAGTCTTCGTGCAGTCGCATCCGCATCCGATTTCTGCCCTCGGTCTGATCAAGTCTCCATTTTCGGGGTTTGTCAATAGCAAAGAGGCCAGCTGGTCTGCTTGTATCTCTTTGCATCCGGTGGAAGCTGGTTTCAGTGTATAGAAGGTCGTCTTGCTGATCCTGGAGCAATCTTTGGTGCTTGAGATACTCGGAAGAATAAATATTGGCGGTCCAGTTCTCGAAAGCGAGCTCATGACGGCGAATGAGATCGTCCCGATCGGCTTCTTCCCGCGCCCACTGCTTGACTTTCTCTCGCCGGCGGGCTATTCTCATTCTGCCATTTTCTTCGGTCCTCTTATTTTCAGATGTGACAAAGGTGTTCCACTGCTTTGACAGGGTGTCGAAGAACAAGGAATCCAGCTCGTTTCGGTGCTCATCAACCCATTGGAGGAAAGTCTCATTGTCAAGTTCAACTAACTTTGAGAAGCCACCAGCCAGGCCCTTGTGCTCCGAATTGTCGGCCTGTCCGAAAATCGCCGCTGCCTCGTCAGGTTTCTGGACGAGAATGATTCTCCACAAGTTCGATGCTGCTTCGCGTACGGCGTCCGTTGATGAGATGAGATTGGCATAGAGCAAGTAACAAATAAGTTGCAGATGTATCGAATGAGTTTCCTCTCCGGAGAGAAGAACGGTCTGCCAATACGCCAATTTTGCTAGGAACGGTAAC